TTGGATACATTTTAGAAAGTGTTTAACATTCTAAGCAACGTACGCACTACAGCTCAGTGGGGCTGCTGTGTTTGATTGCAGGCAATCTTAGAAGGGCCACATTTTGTCTGTTTTATATTTGTCAATACTGCCAGACCACCATGCGGGACGGAGGTGGGCAGGCAAGAGAGCAGGATTAGCAGAGGGGCCAATCAGTCCACTATATGGGCAGTCCCTAAATGCATAAGGTGCAGCTGATGTGCTTTGTGAATGGTCGTAGTGCCCTGCCCCCTCCTGCATCATGCTGGGCAGGTTTGAGAATGCAGTACTGGTTTTGCAGGGACTGGACTCCATAACACAGGATAGTCCCGGCGACAGCGTAAGAAAATCTAGAGGGAACAGTATTTCTTGACAAATATGTGCTTCCTTGTACATCAAAGTACTGTTTACTAAATTATAACTAGGGGAGGCTATTAGAGGCGTGGAATATAGACTTAAATTATCTTCCTGAACTCATCTTTAAATTTACATAATTATTACATTTAAAACACAAAAAACAGTTATTCAAAAAAGGTCTTTCCACTAATAGATTTGCATTTTCTTGTTGAATTATAATTTTTTTTAAAAGCTGAATAGAGACAATAATAAGCTCATTTAAAATGATTTTTTTTCTTTTTCAGATTTCTTTACAGTAAAACCTGTTTGAAAGCTACACCAGCACTACTGAGGGTGATCGGACCTCTTTCACGTTATTCCCCCATCCCCTGCCTGCTTCCTACTCTCATGTGTCAAGGGGATTTTTTTATTACCATGATTCACCTATGTTTGTATGAGTGGGTCCTCAAAAGCACGTACGTGAGGCGAACCTTCCTTTAAAAATTGCTAAATCTTTAGCTCTACTCTAAAAATGTTCTACCCTGTTCTTTTATAATAAAATAAAAATTGATACCACAAGCTTTGAAAAAAGACGGTGATAAAATGGTATCTCAATAAAGGTCAAATTATGTCATGCGAGTGTCTGCATGGTATCCACGTTGGAAAATGGTTTGCATTTATGGAGTAATTTAAATCTGAGAGCTTCTAAAATGGCTCAAACTGCACCACAGACAATAAATAATACCACATTATATACCCCATGGTGACTGCTATTGCATATGGTATGCATTTATGGGGTAATTTGAACAGTCAAACTGCTACTAAAATGAAACATAGGGCCATTAATTCAGTCAGTCTAACAACATTTTCATTGTAAAATCTGAAATAGTGAGGTCTCTAATATGGCACTGTAAGTTCACAGGGTACTGTCAAAAGCCTACATTGGGGGTATTGTTTTATTTAGAAGAGATTGCCCAGCGTAGCTTTTTGATGGGACATAACAGATTTACAAAATGTCTACCAAAACGGCAATGTGCATGTAAAACACGCAAAATATATATAAATAAATATTTTGCCACAAACTTTGAAATAAAATTGAGAGATATGGTGTTGTGATAAGGTACAATATTTAGGATATGAAACACCTTGAGTGTCTACTTTCAGAAATGGGAAGTCTTTGTGAGGGTAATTTGAACAGTCAAACTGCCACAAAACAGGACGTAGGTCCATCAAAGTAATCTATCAACATTCTAACTGTAAAAGCTAACATTGTCAGGAATCGTATATGGCACTGTAGAGAAAAAGGGCATTTATTGGTTGTACCGTTGTACTTAGAAGATGCAGCTAAACTCAGTTTGGGGTTTATACAGGATTACTACACTTCAAAAATGGATATAATACGGACAATGAATGAGAAATACGTGGTTGAACGAACACATAGCAAACATGGCAGACTTGCTTATGTCCTTAAATACAAAACAAGCAAACTGACAGTGTTTCCTTGCAGGGTTAAGGGATCTCCTGGCCCTTTAGCCCTTTATGGCTAGTGTATTTTTAATCTCCTGTTTGGTACTTCTTGTTGTCTCTTGGGGAAAGAACATTTTCAGCCACATTTTCACATCCCCTACCTCTTTTTTATTTTTAGTTACATTTTGTCCAAACCACTTCCCTTTACTATTCTGCTGCTAAATATGTATTGTTACTTCCATTTCAATGTATTGCCATACCTTAATATAAAAGGGCCAATAAAAAAAATAAAAAAGAGATATATATTTCTTTTTTATATATTGAATAGCAGTAAATGTGACAGGCAGACAGGAGGTAGATCAAAATCCAGCATTCACACTGTCACATCACACGTACATGCAAATTCAACATGGAGAAACATTTTGTTACAAACTGTGATTCAGCCAAAGTTAGGCCGATTGGGTGATCCGGTGAATTCCTGATATCTGAACCAGTGACGGATCCAGAGCCTGATCTCGGGAGGGGCACTTGTAGATTATTTAAAGAAATAATCCAGACACAATAACTACTACAGCTCAGTGTAGTGGTTATGGTGTCAATAGTGCCGGAACCCCCTCCTAGAGTAAGTAGTCAAACCGTTTAAGAACAGTTTGACAACTTACCTGAGGTCTGCTGGGAAATGGGGCGGTAGTAGGGCATAGGAGCAGTGGTGTGTGTGAGTGGTGCAATGTGTAAGGGGTGCAGTGTGTGTGTGTGTGAGGGGGACAGTGTGTGAGCAGTGTGTGTGTGTGTGTGTGTGAAGGTTGTAGTGTGTGAGTAGGCGGGGCAGTGTATGTCAGGGATGCAGTGTATGTGTGGGACAGTATGTGTGTGTAACAGTTGCAGTGTGTGTGTGAATGTGGGCAATGTGTGTGTATGGGGCGGCAGTGTATGGGGGCAGTGTGTGTATGAGGGCAGTATGTATGTGTGTATGAGGGCAGTATGTGTGTATGAGGGCAGTATGTGTGCATGAGGGCAGTATGTGTGCATGAGGGCAGCATGTGTATGGGGGCAGTATGTGGGTATGGGGGGCAGTATGTGCAGGCATGGGGGGGCAGTGTGTGTATGGGGGGCAGTACGTGTGGCTAAAGGCATGTGTATGGGGCAGCAAAGGTATGGGGGGGCAGTGTGTGTGCATGGGGGGCAGTGTGTGTGCATGGGGGGCAGTGGCTGTGTGCATGGGGGGGCGGCATAAAGCAGCATGCAAGTGTGTATTGGGGGCAGCAGTATGGGCTGTATGGGGAAGGTGCATGTGCATGGGGCTAGGAGCAGTGGAAGGTGTGTTGGGGGGGCAGCATGGGGGGGTAGTATGTGTGTATGGGGGCAGCATTGGGGGCAGCATGTGTGTGTTGAGGGCAGCATGTGTACAGCGAAGGTGCATGTGCGGCATGGGGCAGCATGTATGGGGTGCATGGGTGGCAGGCTGGGGGGGGCAGCATGTGTGGCTGGGGGCAGTATGTGTGTATGGGGGGGCAGTATGTGCGGCTGGGGGCAGCATGTGTATTGGGGGGCAGCATGTGTGGCTGGGGGCAGTATGTGTATGGGGGGGCAGCATGTGTGTATGTAGTGCATGGGGGGCATGGGGGCAGCATGTGTGTATGGGGGGGCAGCATGGGGGCAGTATGTGTGTATGGGGGGGCAGCATGTGTGTATGGGGGGGCAGCATGTGTGTATGGGGGCTATGTGTGTGTGTGTGTGTTAAGGGTAGGGGGGGCTTTTTTTAATAATATATATCTTTATTTAATTAAAAAAAAAAAATATCCTATGTCCCCCCTCCCTTCTTACCTTTACTGGGGAGGAGGGGGGACATATTTCGATCCCTGGTGGTCCCAGTGGGGATTCATTGGTGGTCAGGTGGTCAGAGTGAACTCTAGCCCGCGCTCCCGGGCTAGAGTTCACTCTCGCGAGATTTGGAGCGTTGCCGTGGTAACCGCGGCAACGCTCCAAATCTCGCGAGAGGAGGACCCGGAGGAGCTGCAGACTGAGCTCCCGGGTCCTCCCCTGCCGGCCGCCAGCACAGTGCCTGCGGACCGGGAGGGAGATCTCTGATCTCCCCCCGGTCCGCAGGCACATTGCAGGGCTGGCACCTGGCAGGGGAGGGAGACCGGCGGATTTCTCGGGGGGGGGCAATTGCCCCGTTGCCCCCCCCCTGGATCCGCCAGTGATCTGAACTGCCATCCAGACACATCAGGAAACATACGACTTGCGCAACAAACGATCATGTTCATATGATTCGAGATTCAGCGTTTCATCCAGAGAGAGCAAAGAACACACGATTGATGGGAAAAAAAATATGCTGAAAGGCTGAGGGAGAACCGCAACATGTTGGTTTATTTCACAGATCAAGTGAGAAGAGACCAATAGAGAGAAAAAAGCCAAGCAGTTAAAAAAAAAAAAACTAAAATTATAAATAGAGTTTATAACAATTTATTTTCTGTTCCTTGGTTACTTTTCTTACTTGATCTGTGATTTGTAATTATATTATGTACATGTATATTAAGCAGTACACTGCCTGTATATTATGTATATATTTTGCATTACAGTGATTGGCCCATTTTTGCACCTTTTTTTGGTATATAGATCTCTGCGGTCCAGAATGTTTTTTGGACTTTGGTTCAGCCAAATTTTTTTTTGCTGTGTCCAAGTCAACTGCATATACATTCACACACGTGCAGTCACACATGACACACCAAACACATAAATGCACACATTTACAGTATACAGTACACCTAAATTCATGGTCAGTACACATGCATGCATTCACATATATAAACATTTGAATAATTTCTTTTTTAAATAATTCCGTGTTTCAAAGTGGGGCTGTCCCTCCAAAAGAGAGATTTTGTAAAGTTAAACAAAAATAGACTGGTTGAAAAACAAATATCTAAGATTTGCTTCTTGGCAGTGAGTTAGTGGGGTAATAGAAGACAATAATTTTCTTGTAAGATGTAAGATGTCTACCCGATCTTGCTAGTGCCACCATGTCTGACTTTGCAATTGGAAGAGAAGTTCAAGGTAGCAAAAAAAGCAGGTTTCTTTTAATAACTGTCCTACACTTTGTTACATGTACTGTGAAAGCAGAAGTGGGCTTCAAATCCACGGACATGCACATACAGTAAGAGTACAGAATTTTGAAAGAGAAAACCTTTTATGCTGCTTTGAGTGCCATCATTCACAGTAATTTTACTCCGTAAATGGTTGTATCATTTTATTGACAAAGCAACAAAAGGAGAGCGAGCGGTGACAATGGAGAACTTTATTCGGGTCAAGTGGAGAACGTGTGCAGTGCTGTTTACCGTCTCAGGTATCAATCTGTTCGTCAGTCATGTGACTGGTAAGTACAAGTATAAAATAAACCAGTACTAGCCTGGTTACAGTATCAGCAATTAGATTGTGTAAGCTTTCTGAAGAAACACAAACAAAATAAATATTACAAATCAAAGGGCAATGATTATTGGCAATGATGTCACACATAGGAACACAGTAGCTGTATTTTTGACCATCCGACCATCCATCCATCCATCAGTCCAGTAAAGATAGTTAGCAGGCAATGCAATATGTCTTGATGAAGAGCCATCCATGTTTTTTTCTGAATTGTAATGATCAGCCATGCTTTATTTTAATTCGGTGATTTCTGTGTTTGTGGACAGGCGTTAATCAGGAGAACATCTATTGTATGTTACATAATTACATAGTTACATAGCTGAAAAGAGACTTGCGTCCATCAAGTTCAGCCTACCTCACATTTGTTTTTTGCTGTTGATCCAAAAGAAGGCAAAAAAACCCAGTTTGAAGCACAATTTTGCAACAAGCTAGGAAAAAAATCATTCTTGACCCCTGAATGGCAGTCAGATTAATCCTTGGATCAAGCAGTTATTACCCTACATTGAAAGATTATATCATTGAATATTCTGTTCTTGCAAGTATGCATCTAGTAGCCGTTTGAACAACTGTATGGACTCTGATAAAACCACTTCCCCAGGCAGAGAATTCCACATCCTGATTGTTCTTACAGTAAAAAAATGTTCTGTGGACTGCATCATGAAAATTTTTTTCTTGCAATAATTCTAGCTGAAGGTATTGTTGTTGTCCAATGGTGGGCTAATCTACTCATGACGAAGAGATACTATGGTGGTAGATTTACATGTTGCTTGAGTATAGTGACTTAGTGAGAGCATATTATCTAGAACTCCAAGGCGTTTGGCTTAAGTGCGTGATCTGCAGGTTTTGCAAGCTGTTTTTAGATATACCCGCACGTTTTCATTGATGGTATATCTACTAAACATTGATGTATTTTTTGGACAGTGTAGTGGAGCGTCCCTTTAATTGGGGAGACAGTTACTGTTGTGTCTGATTACCTGCTGCTCAATGCACAATTTAGAAAGTTTTAACAATCAGACATTTTGGAGAAGCTACCGGCTTATCAGAGCTTGATTAAACATAAGACTGCATAGGCTACTGCCTGGGCTCAGACAGCTATGTGTAATGAAATAAAATAGTAAACTATAGAGAAATTTGTGAATTCAATTAATTATTCAGTTGTTTTGGTTTCTACTATTTTCGCAGGAAACAAGTCTTGTACGAACAATATAGACATTCCGAGTAACACGGAATACAATACATCTATAGGACACCCCCTCGCCTTAAGGTGTCCAGTCCATTTCTGCCACGGAGAAGCCCCCAATGTGACTTGGTGCAAGTTCGAAGGATACATATGTCAGACTATTGATACAGACTCCAGGATCTCTTTTGAATGGACAGAACTGACTCAACTTTATGGGATTTATCTATTGCACTTTATATCAGTTAATGAAAATGACAACAGCTACTATCAATGTTCTGTGAATCACCAAAATCCCAAATCCGAGGGCAAAATGCTGAAAGTTAATATATTGAGTAAGTTACAAAGAGTCTGCTACCACACAGTTTGTGATCATTAACGGAGTTTAACAGTAGTTTTATTCTCACTATTCACAAAACTGCTCTTGATCTGGCGTTTTGTACACAACATGCTTTATTGGATTTCTGCATGTTACATGGATCTGCATGCAACTTGCTCTGGTTCTTTGGTTCAGTAAATACACATTACTACTTAGGAATAGATTAAAGGAGTATAGAGAACTGAGACAGGGAAAGATGACTTAAAATTGGGTAAATTCACTGGGTGAGCAATGGCAAGAAAATGAAAATAACTGAAAAGGTTTGGCAGAGATAAAGTACTTTGGGAGACGAGAAGAGGAATAATGTAACAGAAAAAAGGATGGGGACTGAGGTGGTTAAACCCACCCTAATTATTTCTTATTTTTTGACTGGTGAGTACATAGATATCCATGACTGTACTATAAGTGCAAAGTGCAGACTTTCCAAGTACGCACTAGCCATTGGTGAGTGGAGGGTCATCCCTACAAATAGAAAATTCAGCCCTAACAGGTGAGCCAAGGATCCCCGATCAGGCAGTGCGGTCCTTGGCATACTTGCTGCTGCTTGCTTGATGTGTGTCGTTATCATGAGGGACAATAAATAAAAGAGTGGGTATATGCCTGTTTAATCTTTGCAGAGATTTTAGACATCTGCAACCAGAGATTTTAGACCTCTTGTCTGATTCACAGTCGGGGGAGGGGGCGGGGGGTGTACCAGGTTAATATCTAGAAATGCCAATCTCTACTAAAATCTGCATTTTTTGCAAAATAAAAAAGAAGACACACTCTTCAGCAACTTAAAGTGCTTTCAGTGTTTTTCGTGTCCCTTTAAAAAATGACCATTTTATTGTGCCACAACACTAAACAGGCAAAATTTAGACCCAATATATGTTCAGACTAGTAACTGGAAAGTGCAAGAGACATGTTTAAGATCAAGTGCTAAGCTGAACGTTAAAGTGACAATGACCATATGTAATAGAATATTGACTACCAGCAAATATATATAAAGTATAAACGGCAATACAGAACAACAGACAGACAGGATGATAGATTTATACGGGGGAGAGATCATGAGGATGTTTCTCTCCTTCTCATATACGTAGGAGTAGGAGATGAGAAAAGCTTTAATCTGAGCAAAGTTTGTAATATAGTGAAACTTAAATTAACACTGTAATTTAACTTTTACATTTTGTAAAAACTATTTCAAGTCCTATGCCATAACCCAAGTCTAGAAGCTACTTGCCACTGCAAACACTTAACTTCGACAGGATAATAGCTCGTCCATCCACGCAACCCTCAAATGACTCATACAACAATTTGTAGCTGGTTGGTACATGTTACACATTGTAGGATATTTGTTGCAGCTTCCTGGGTGGACTATATGTTTAGTTAAGGTGATGGCGATATATATACATACAACGAGCACAATGTATAAATAAAATATTAATGACTTAGTATTCATGAAACTTATTAATTGTATCATTTATTATGGCTCTCATATGTAGGTGATACTAAAATAAATAGCCTAAAAGATATTCAGCCCTATTCATTGTTTGTTAAATAAATATATTTCCCAAATTATTATTTATCTTGTTTCAGGCAGACCTCATGATGATAACTCATCTGGTGATCGCGGGAACGTCAGCAAGTCCTGGATGACATACGTTTTTATTGGTCTCCGGTTCCTGTTGGTCATTGTGACTTACTCATTGTTATTTGTATATATTCGTAGACTCAAAGGTAGAATATTATTCAAAACTCTCTATAACTTACTCACTTAAGAAAAGAGGGTGAAAGCGTTGTAACCAAAAAATATATAAAGAACCTCTGTCATCACTAAAATTTAGGAATTGCAAGTTATGTTGTTATGTAATCTATTCTTAATGCTGGTAAAACTATTGCAGAACTCCTGTTAAGAGAACACTCCAAGCACCATAACCACTATAGTGCACTATAGATGAGCGTCCATTAGCTATCCTGAAGTGCCATGCACAGTTCAGATCTGAGAGCCTCTGGCTAGAGAGGAGAAAGGGCACAGTGTCTGGCAGGTACGAAGTCAGGCTGTTCTAAATAGTTTGACTACTTAAATTGTGGGTACTAGGGAACTTCTGGCACCACAACCACTATAGCACGCTGTTGTGGTTATGGTGCCAGAAGTTCCTTTAATGCTTTGGACGCATCTACTGTGAGGGAAGTAAAAAATTTCAGAAAAGCGACAGTTCTTTAAATCGGTAAATGACAAGCACTATGATTATTTAGAGTAACATAATAATGTCCTATTCTCAATTCTCCAATAAACATATATCCCATATGTACAACATGAAACCTCTGGACAAATAAAAACACTGCAGTGGTTATGGTGCAAATATGTCTTGTTGCCCTCCTAGTGTAAGCACTCAAACTATTTGAGAATGGTTTGACAGCTTACCTGGGTTCTGCCAGGTGCCCAAAACCGCTCTTTAGATAGAGGCATCCGGTAATAAGCTATGAAGCAGTGCAGGACTGCGCTCATTGGCTGGGAGTGATTAACTAAGCACTCTCAGCCAACGAGCTGGACCTGCACCACTGGTATACAGGAATTTTTGTTGATAAATAAAAGTTTTTCTACACAGACTGTAATCATGTAGAATAATACTGAATCAAAACCATAAATGGAAAAATATGGGCTTTGAATTTAAGTATATATCTATAAAAATAGGTAAATGCATTCATTTTAAAACAATATTACGATCTCTTATTAAACTAATTCTTCTGAATGATATCCCTGTGCTTGTGACATTGAATACATGTTTATTAACGTTCACGTAAAAACTTACATGTTAAACAGGAAACTCTACGTAAGTTGCTCAGAACAAAACTATCAGTCTGGTCATAATACTTGTTCTGATGTGTTTTTCCAAAAAACAGGGGTGTTATCAATCTAAAATTGTGTTATTTAAAAAAATTGATTTCTTTTATTTCTAAACTGCAGATCCAGCTTGTTAGAAAAAAAATTACTCAGTTTTAAAAAAGAACCAAAAATCAAATGATTTGAATAAATATATTATTTTGTCTTTCAGAAAACCATCGGGTACAGCAGAAGACCGCCGTAAAGAACAGGGTAGAATTATTTTATATGTTTGACACATACCAGCGATGAATGTGTTACCTTCTTCAGCCCTTCACTTTCATTGATGTATCTTCTGAATCATATAGTTTCATTAATGGGATCAAACGAAGGTTCATGAGAAATATCACAAATACTGGTTTCCTCAGTCTAAGTCAGTGGCGTACCTATAGTGGTTGCAGGGCCCAGGGTTGCAGCAGCGAGCAGGCCCGTCACTACAGGGGTCCCGGCCACCCTGTGTACCCATGCGACCAGCATAACTTCAGAGTCTGTGCAGAGCTGCACCGGCCCAGGACACGCGGTCGCTGCGCTACTGGCAGGAGGGGAGCACACATCACTGTATGTAGCGTGATCTGACAAGTGATGCTCACTGAAGGATAAGACATGGAGGGGTAGAGGGGGGGAATGAGGCACATGGATGAGCTGGGGGAGGAATGAGACACCTGGAGGGACTGAAGGGGATGAGACACATGGAGGAGCTGGGGGAGAGAATGAGACACATGGATGGGCCGGGGGGGTCGGTGAGATACATGGAGAGCCTGTAGGGGGGAGCGTGAGACACATGGGGAGCCTCAGGGCAACTTTTGCACCGTGACCGGGTGGTTTCTAGTTACACCTCTGGTCTAAGTACACTCATTAAGATGAGACTTGGCATAATGATATCACCAATGATTTACCATAACTGAGGTCCTCTGAAGGGCCCCTTTCTGTTAGTATGAAGTCTTGAGGGTCTTAGAAAAAGTGGTCACAATAAATGTCCTCTCTTAAAACTCAAAAAGGATTGAAATTAATTAGCCTATGTGTATTATTTCTTTACAACTGAAGTATATAACTGTACATTAAATATTCCAAATTAACAGGGCCAGATTAATATAGGGGCTGATGGAGCTGCAGCTTCAGTCCCATGCCTATGAAATAGGACCATTGACTTAAAAAAAAAAATGCCCATATATATATATATAAAAAAAAAATTAAAACAGGAAAAAATACCCTGCATTCACGCTTTAACTCCTTCACTGCTGGGTGCAAGTAATAGCTGGGTAACAGATCACCTGGCACCCCGACTGGGTACCTCCGTTGAAGGATGCTCCTAGCGCTTCCTGAGGGCTCCAAGCACTCCAGCAGACACCATAACCACCGTAGACTCCTTCAGCGAGCAAAACAGGAGCAAGCTCTTAAAAGATCTTAGTAGTGATTATAGCAATCCCTTGTAGCAGATTCCCCCCAATAAGAGTCGGCACTCCAAATTGAGGGGGAAGTAGAACTGTCTAAAACTTTATTTTACTTGTGACTACATTACATTAACATTGCTGTGAAAACTCAATAAAATGACAAACAGTCCAATCATAGCAGGCAACATTCAGTGACTTATTATAACATAATACATATTTATAAATGGGTGGGGAAGACCATAATTAACACAAATATCCTGTAGTCGCTGCTGGAGCCTGGCGTCAAAGTGAGATACTGCACAGCCTTCCATCTCTGAAGTAGTGCTGGTTTTCCCAAGGCTAGGAAGCCATCCCACTGCTGCCACCAATGTAACGGATCACCTGGCACCCCGACTGGGTACCTCCATTGAAGGATGCTCCCAGCGCTTCCTGAGGGCTCCAAGCACTCCAGCAGACACCATAACCACCATAGACTCCTTCAGCCAGTAAAACAGGAACAAGCTCTTAAAAGAACTTAGTAGTGATTATAGCAATCTCTTGCACCAGATTCTCCCCAATAAGAGATGGCAATCCAAATTAAGGGTGAAGTAGAACTGTCTAAAACTTTATTTTACATGGGACTAGCCCATATGGTCATTACATTAACATTGCTATGAAAACTCAAAAAAAATACAAACAGTCAAATCATAGCAGGCAACATACAGTGACTTATTATAACATAATACATATTTATAAATGGGTTGGGAAGACCATATTAACACAAAATGTCTCTCCTGCATGCAGAATTAGCGATATGCAAATCTACCTGAATATGCAAATTACCAGTCTTGCTATTCAGATAGTGCATATTACTGTTGCTACCAACAGAGGGCACTACACAAGCTCCATCGCCAAATCCACCTAGTTGGTAGCAATCCTCAGCAGTACAGGAGAGCAGCCAATACATCTCCAGGGCCATAGTCAAATGGCAGGAGGCTGGCAATCAGTCTTCTCCAATGCCCAGCGGCGAGGCTGGTTCCGTCACAGGCTGCTCACCAGTCTTGAAATATAAATGCTTTATTAAATAAAGTTACAAAAACGACCAACATTTCAGTCCCCAATCGGGACTTTCCTCAGGGTCAACTATAGGATAGCAATGTACACGTGCATAAATGAACATTATTTATCTACATGAATAATCATGATAACTCACCCAGGTGTTGTGCACCTACCTCCAGTAGTGTTGAATGAACTTCTGTGTGTGCGAGCGCTCCCGCTTAAGTGCTCCGTCCCCTGCCAATCACGTGATGCGTACTGGGATCTCAACCCGGTTGCCATAGTGATCTCAAAACAACACACCTCAGTGTCTATATATATATATATATATATATATTTTACACTACTCTTCACACACTCTTGCTTAAGTATGAAACTTAAGACAGATGTAGGGGAACAAAACTTGTGTGGACTGGCTGACAATGAAATTAGATAAGATAAAGTTGACTTTACGCACTATGCGAATGCTCTTGCTGTTTCAGTCTCTCTAACACTGTGGCATGTTCCTTTTCTTCTACACTCACTACTGGTAAGAAGGTTTGGATAGGAGTGGACCAGCGAGTGCTACGGGACAGTCCTTAGGAAGCATAGTGCTAGCGCATCATTAGATGCATTAATGCCAAGCTCAGGGTGCTGTCTGCACAGTATGTCCCTGGTGGGTCATCCTGCATGATTGGCAGTGCATTTATGCCAGGCTGACACTCCCCCTTTTGGGGCATGTTTGTCTCTTTGGATGGTTCTGGTTACATAATTCACATCAGTAGTCTACCCTTTTATCCTGCCCTCTGAAATTCTGCTTCACCGGACACTGCTGTTAGCGGGTATGGATTTACTTGAAGTTACTTGATGAAAGTGAGAGATTAGCATAGGATATGTATTTTCTGATAGCTATATCCTGTGAGTTTCCTTCCGGCACCTCCTCCACCAGATACACGATGCTTGAGAGATTTAACTGTTTTAGTGTTTTCTGTTGATAAGATTCTGTAATTAGGCCTATCATAATTGTCAGGACCAGGCCCAGTGGGCTCTTAATCCGGCCGTGCAAATTAATAGCATTTTGATAATATATTGCATTGTAAACACATAATTTATAAATGCATGCATTTGGTAAATGAATTACTTTCTCTTGCAGGTTAGATATATAACTGCTCAAAAATCGTCACACAAGAAGAGACCAGCAAAGGTTTGTGTTGGTGCTGTCCCTCACCGCAATATAGAAGATGACCCACCTACAGAGTCATTCGAAATGATTTGCGAAGATTCTGCCTCTTGTGATGATGAATGCACAAGCAGCCATTCAATGCAGGAGCAACACTGTGTCTAGAGACAAGAGCAAGTATTCTAGAACACAAGAGCATCATTCTAAGCATGAGCATCTGTATCACACCAGTACAGGAAATGAAAGAAGTGGCTGGATGCCTCTGTATTTACATTGCTATGGGCGGGGCGGGTGTGTGAAAGCTTGAACCTGGTGGGGTTTTATTCTGATTTTCAACATGAATGATGTTTCTGTATTTCTGCAATAAATATGGTAACCATCAAGTTTAGTTTTGTGGTGACTCTTTGCGATGTTGTGGATAGAGACATTTTCAGTATTTGCACTGTAATAATTCTCTTTGCAAAGCACGTTTATTGTCTGTAGATTGTAAGAGTCTGTAATTCTGAGCTGCAATTTCCACAATTAAATAGTCTATATCTATGTTTAAGTGCTGCAAAGTATGTTAGAGCTCGCTATATAAAAGGTAATTATAGTAATAATAATAACAAAGGTCACGGCAGCTGACATTCTATCATACTGCTATATATTCCTTATGCAATAAAGCACAAAGAAAAAAAATGGCTGCTATACTGTTACAACTAACCTACCTATATCAGAGGACAGCACTGTCATAGACAATAAGGCAGCAAGAGGTAGAAATTAATGCTGTAAGCTAAATTAGTCCACATTTATCATGAATCTCTTACTAGATAGCACATTATATCCACTTAATTAGCAGAAAACAATATAGCAAGTTAATGATGGGCCACTAGCAGATTTATTTCCATGAGACTGACTATTCGCCAAGATAATACAAATAAAGTATAACTTTACCTATCAAAAAGGTTCCACATTAAAAAAAAAAAAAAATCAGGTGAATAGTAAAAAGAGGAGGGGGAAGAGATTGCATGTCAACCAACAATATGAGCAAGAGTGACTTCCTTGATGAGGTCCTGCAAAGATTGCAGGACTGATGTTCAGCATCTCCACTCTCTGCATTGATATGCTGAACACTCCACATAGAAATACAATGAGTCATTGAGGAAATATTAACTGGCACTGCGATTGCCACACATGCTCTCTAAGTGGAAGCATTGGATTGGTTTAGATCATCGGTATTGATCATCTCAGCCAGCAGAGACAGGAAAAACATGGTGTGAAAATTAATTCTGGGGGTCTGCATCAGAATAGGTAGGCTAACACAAATATAAGATTGTATTCCTAATGCTCGAGTGTTCAAGTTTGAGTGAGCTGCCCAAAACCAGGGGTTCCTGAAGCACCCAATACATTGCTAATATGGAAGTGGAACCTTTTTAATACCAGTATGAATTTCACACACAGCACTGACACTGACATTGGTGCATGTAAGCTGACAGGCTCAGATTATCACTGCCATTCAAATGCAAACCAGGGGACCATGTCAGGGGCATGCTGGCAATATAAGCACAACAAAACGGGTTGGGGCATGCTTTAATATTGCCCATTTAATATACTGCTAAGTGGAGTGCGGTTAAATAGCAAAGGGATTAAATGGATTTGCAAACTACAACCAATTAAAACAAAATAAAAAAAAACAAAAAATATACATGCAAATTCCAAGTCATTATTCTTAGAATATATTTGCTGGCCACAATTTTTACCCAGAGTGTGTAAACATTGAAAGCTGTATATATATGTTTTTTTACATTCTCTATTTTTTGCAGTTCAAATGAATACAAAAAGATTTACTATGCCAAAACAGCATTGGCAATCTCTGCAGTAGCATACATGGTGATACATTGGCATGGTATATTGAGAAATGTCACTATTTTATGAAAATGAAAAGAAAAATAAATTGAACAGGATAGGTAATTTGTCTAGACAGAGATTGAGTCAAACACTTGTTAGTAGTGTAGGCTTTCCAGACTAGCATCAAACTAGCAGTATTGCTAAAACATTCAATATAACAGATAACCTTTTTAAAAAAAAATTAAATTAAAAAACAAAAATATAAAACAAGCTTGGTTAACATGTCTATGCTGAATAAAAGCAATACTCTTAGGCATATATAATCACATTAGGGTATGCAAACCAGTCTACAGACTAGAGAATTAAGGTTGAAGGTTGATCGAAGAATTCACTCAGGCGATGGCCCTGAAAGCTAATTCAGTCGACTCCTATAAGTGTTAGTGCTACTACTCCTCCAGGTAAAACATTGCACTAGGACGGGGTACCCTCCAGTCCCCGGCCTGTGTAAGGGCAGGCAACAGTATACCACAGACTCAGATACTTCTGGAGTCTGAGAGCGGTTTGCAACCAACTCAAGTGGTTAGTGTAAGTGGTAAGCAACAGCATGTAATAATCCACGGGGGACTGGGATATCCCCCACTGGTCTAAAGGAGGGGACCGGTATGTCCCCCACTGGTCTAAAGGAGGGGACTGGGATATCCCCCACTAAAGCAGGGGACCGGTATATCCCCCACTGGTCTAAAGGAGGGGGCCGTTATATCGCCCACTGGTCTAAAGGAGGGGACCGGTATATCCCCCACTGGTCTAAAGGAGGGGACCGGGATATCCCCCACTGGTCTAAAGGAGGGGACCGGTATATCCCCCACTGGTCTAAAGGAGGGGACCGGTATATCCCCCACTGGTCTAAAGGAGGGGACTGGTATATCCCCCACTGGTCTAAAGGAGGGGACGCGATATCCCCCACTGGTCTAAAGGAGGGGACCGGTATATCCTCATCTGGTCTAAAGGAGGGGAGTAGGAGTGCAGCAGGTCTGAGCCATGAGCTAAAGAGTGAGTAGATCGGCCACCTCTCCCAAACTCTTGCCAGTAGGCCGCATCCGGTTTGCCCTAGCACTTGCTAATGTAAATTCCCTGGAAAGATTTCCATCTGAAATATGCATTTGGTCGACGTGGAATTCTAATGGTTGGGCAAGGCCACAATCGTGGAGTGACCACCTGGCAGTCCTGGGTGGCTCAGTCTGCTCTGGCTTTTCTAATATGGTTGATTTCTTCTGTAATCCATTTATTTCCAGTTGTGACACTATTTTTTAAATGTATTTTTTATTTTTACAATAGTATCGCTATATAATTAATCGCTATCTAATACACACAAAGACAACACACACTACATCCACTATACAAACACACACTCTGCATCCACTACACAAACACACACTCCGCATTCACTCTACACACACAGTACATCCACTACACCGACACACATTCTGCCTTCACTGCCTAATACTACATCCACTACACAAACACACTCTGCATTCACTATACTCACTGCATCTTTTACACACAAATACTACACACACTCTGCATTCACTATACATACACTTCATAAACACACACTCTGCATCTACTACACAAACACTATATCCACTACACAAACACACATTCTGCCTTCACATCACACACTGCATCTGCTACACAAACACATGCTCTACATTCACTATACACAATGTATCTAATACACACAAACACTACATCCATTCCACAAACACACTCTGCGTTCACTATACTCACTGCATCTATTGCACACAAACACTACATACACTCTGCATTCACTATACATACACTACATACACTACATAAACACACACTCTGCATCCACTACACAAACACTACATCCACTACACAAACACACTCTGCATTCACTATACTCACTGTATTTATTACACACAAACACTACACACACTCTGCATTCACTATACATACACTACATAAACACACACTCTGCATCCACTACACAAACATTACATCCACAACACAAACACACACTCTGCATCCACTACACAAACATTACATCCACAACACAAACACACACTCTGCATTCACTGCACACACTACATCCACTACACAAACATACTCTGTGTTCACTATACTCACTGCATCTATTGCACACAGACACTACACACACTTTGCATTCAGTATACACACACTGCGTCTGCTACACAAACACACATTCTGCCTTCACTGCACACACTACATCCACTACACAAACACACTCTGTGTTCACTATACTCACTGCATCTTTTACACACAAACACTACACACACTCTGCATCCACTACACAAAAACTACATCCACTACACAAACACACTCTGCGTTCCCTATACTCACTGTATCTATTACACACAAACACTACACACACTCTGCATTTACTATACATACACTACATAAACACACACTCTGCATTCACTACACACACTGCATCTGCTACACAAACTGACACACTCTACATTCACTATACACAATGTATCTAATACACACAAACACTAGATCCATTACACAAATGTACTATCTGCATCCAATATGCACACTGCATCTATTACACACACACCAAATCCACTTTACACACACACTCTACATGCACTATACACATTCTACATGCACTTTACACACCACATGCAGTACACACACAAAGCATCCATTACACACACACTGCAACCTTGTGGGCAAACTCCAGAGCAGGCCCGAGATGGCACAGAAATGAACTTTGTCAGGGCCCTCCAAAATTGGCAGCCCTGTGGTTGGGATTAGTACCCCAAATTCTGTCAAAGATGTGGGAGCTCAAGCATCTCATGTCTGCTCAGCTTGATGGTCAGACTCATCCCCTGAAAGATGTTAATTCTTACCAAAATATATATAAAATATATTCCATATAGTCCACAAGATTGAACTATAATCTGGATGCATGTTATAGCGTTTCTAAAATGTGTATTCAAGTTTAACTTGATCACACAATTTTGAACTTAGAAATAAACAGGATGAGGCGGCTGTCTGGCCGCTAGGATGCCGAGCAGTGCTGGCTCATCCATAGGAGCAATTCGAGCAGTGCCCCACCAAATAATTCTTGTCATAACAAAAATAACCTATTGCCAGTGGTAAAAAAAATGACTGACATTGTTTCCATTTGGCAAATTTCCATTAAGTGAGTTTAAATCCTGTATGTGGTGGGCTTCTTTTGTCTGCTCATTCTGTGCACATCAGAATAAGGATTTGTGATTTCAATCAAAAGCAAAAAAAAAAAGAAGGAAAATGAGGAGGAAAAAAACACTTCTTAAATAGGGTGACACAATTCCTCAGTAAGGGATATAAACCTCCTGCCAAATTTATCTAGAGAAAATGAGGATTGTAATCTAATAGAAATACAATTGAAAAAAAAAAGTGTATTATTCACTGGTTAAAATAATAT